TTTGCCTTGTAGCAAATTATTGAGAGTTAGCTGCCATATTTTCAATGAGGTTTCTAGCGGCAGCGGGAGTCTTGTCAACTAGGGCTCCCCCACTAGCTACGTCGATCATGCTCCTATCCATTGGGTGTAAGCCCTCATAAAAGTATTGGATTAGGAGCTGGTCACTTATCTGATGATAGGGGCAACTAGCACAAAGTCTCTTGAAACGCTCCCAATATTCATACAAACTTTCCCTTTCCAGCTGCCTAATACCACATATTTCCTTTCTTATTGAGGCAGCTCTTGAGGCAGGGAAAAATTTTTCCAGGAACAATCTCTTGAGGGTGTCCCAACTTGTAATAGAGCCAGGTGGAAGATAATACAACCAGTCTTTAGCCAAATCCATAAGAGAGAATGGAAATGCCTTCAATTTGACATGCTCTTTCGGAACACCTTGAGGTCTCATGGTGGAACATACAATGTGAAACTCCTTCAAGTGTTTGTGAGGGTCTTCACCTGCAAAACCATGGAATTTAGGTAGAAGGTGAATTAATCCAGTTTTCAAAACAAAAGGAGCGTCCACATCTGAATATTAGATGCACAATGTTTGGTATGTGACATTCGGTACAACTAGCTCCTTAAGAGTCCTCTCATCACCTGTCATTGCTCCAAAACTAGAGTTAAGTGAAAATGTAGAAGAGTAAATAGAAATTGATGTCACAGATTGCAAAGATGCAGTAGGAGATGATGATGGTTCAGAGTGATCAGAATGATCCCTATGTGTCCTAATGTTCCTATGAAAAGTCCTATCAATCTCCTGGTCTAATGGATACAAATCCCCAAGGTTTGATCAGGTCATGCACTAGATATCAACTAACTAAATTGAAAGCAAATTGAGTAAATGAAATAACAAGAACAGTTTGAAATCTCTCTGCAGAATTATGCAGCAAAAGTGCAGAAAAAGAGAATAATATGCAGCAAAATGAGTGCAGAAAATTGAAAGTGAGTAATTGAAAAATTGCAGCACTTGAATGAAGGAAATGATGTAGAAAATCTTGCAATAACAATGCAGAAACAGACCACAAAATTCGTATGGCTACCAACACAATACAAAAACTCAAAAAATGAAACAAACACACTAACATGCAAAACACAAAAACAGAGCATTAATCATGTTCAACATAAGTTCAGCACCAAAAAAATTCCCCGGCAACGGCGCCAATTTGATGAAACGAATTTTCGCTACTCGTTATGCACAAAGATTGTCGTTAATCCTCATCAAATATGCAAAGAAATGAATGTAGTACTAGGGTGTTATCTTAGGTCGTCTCCAAGAAATTTTTGGTTGGGAACATACATCAAACAAGTGTAAACATATATTTTAAAGCAAGTAAATTGGGGGGGAAGTTTGTCAATTTCCATATTTTAATCAAGAGAAAAATGTAAACTAGTGAAATTCAATCAATTAAGAAGAGTAATCCCTAGTCAATCAACGAGTTCTATCCCTATTCTTTCAAATGATTTAATAATCCCCTATTTTTTCCCTGAATTAAGTTAATCTATCAAGCGTAAATTAACTTTAGCATCCCAATTAAAATTAAGCATCTTAATGGGCTCCAATCTCTATCCCTAAGATTAAGCAATCTCAAAGATTAATCAAAATTAAGCAATTTTGGATTAGAATTTCGTTTGGGTAATTTAGGGTTCATTAAGCAATGTTTCCCTCATGTAAATTTCAGTTCATTCAGAGATTGGGGTTAAAAAATTCAAGGAAAGAAAGAGTAATATTGCCATTAAACCCAAGAATTCAAGAACCATGTGAATTGACTAGGAATTATAAGAGAATTTAGCCCTCCATATGGATAAGCTTCACAAATGAAAGAAAGAAATGCAGAAACGTAAGCAACATTAATGTAAATTCAATGAGAATCAAAGGGAAATTGGAAATTAAAACCTATAATAGATTCCTGGCTGTCACCCAAGGCTCCAAAGCTCTGGAAAGAAAATGTCCTAATTTGGCAAAGAGAATCCAAGAAAAATAAATGTTCAAGTCCCTGTACCCTAATTCCTAAAATCTATTTATAGTGGGGGACATGTTAGCAAAGTGTCCACTTTTGCCTTTGAAAGTGTCCACTTTGGGCCTTGAAAGTGCCCACGCGCATATTTACGTAAGCCTACCACTTCTTTGGAGTTGCCACTTTTGGACTTGAAAGTGGCTACTTTGGATGCGCATAGCCACTTTGAAAGGCAATAGTGGCCACGCGCAAATTGCTTCCAAAAGTGACGTCCTGGAGCTTTCTGGAGTTGCTACTTTTGGACTTAAAAGTGGGAACTTTGGATGCGCGTAGCCACTATAAAAAGCAATAGTGGCCACGCGCAAAATGCTTCTCAAATGGCGTCCCTGGAGCTCTCTAGAGATTGAAAGTAGCTACTTTGGAACCTTTAATGCCCAGACTTGTTGTAGTTGCCACTTTTGCTCCTAAAAGTGGCTACTTTGGGGGAAAATTTCATCCAAGGGCCAAGATATCTTAGAATTAACTTGGGGACTCTGCAAAATTATCAAGATAATTAAAATTGCAATCTATATTTATGTAATTAAATGCAAATTAATCAAAAATTAATAAACCTATGATATTTACTCAAAATGTGATTTCTATATTATTTGCACTATCTAAGTCTATTTTTTCTATCAAGGAGCACCAAAAAGGAAAGTAAAAATATAATAAAAAGTGGATTCATCACAAGCTGCAAATCAAAATTAAGGAACTTCAATGCCTAATAGGCCTTGTGTTCTAATGCAACAAGTAAGTGACAAGATTTTCTAAAAACCAAACGATAAGGGGACATGCCGATAGGAGTTTTAAAATCAGTACGATAAGCCCAAAGCGCATCATCTAATTTTATAGGCCAATCTTTTCTAGAACAATTAACTATGCGCTCTAAAATCTTTTTCAACTCCCTATTAGATACCTCAACTTGTCCATTGGTTTGGGGGTAGTAGGGAGTAGCAACCTTATGGGTTACACCATATTTTTCTAAGAGATTATCAAAAAGTTTATTACAAAAATGAGTACCCCCATCACTGATAATTGCCCTAGGGGTTCCAAACCGAGAAAAAATATTTTTCTTAAGAAATTTAGTAACCACCTTAGCATCATTAGTTGGTAAAGCAGCCGCTTCCACCCACTTGGAGACATAATCCACAGCAACCAATATGTATTCATTATTAAAAGACTTAGAGGAAGGTCCCATAAAATTAATACCACAAACATCAAATATTTCACAAACCAAAATATTGTTGAGATGCATATCATGCCTTCTAGAAATATTACCACTCCTCTGACATTTATCACATGATTTAACAAAACTATAAGCATCTTTAAAAAGTGTAGGCCAATAAAATTTACTTTGCGAAACCTTGTGAGCAGTTTTAGTGGGGCCAAAATGGCCTCCCACCTCTCTAGAGTGACAATGCTCAAGAACCGCAGTAAATTCACTTTTAGGAACACATCTCCTAATCAAATTATCCTCACAAACTTTAAACAAACAAGGCTCTTCCCACAAATAATATTTAACATAAGATAAAAATTTTCTCTTTTGTGAGGATGAGAGTCCATGAGAAAAATTTTACCAGCTAAGAAATTTACCAAATCCGCATACCAAGGTGCCCCAGAAATAGCAAAAATCCTCTCATCAGGGAATGTCTCTTTAATAACTCTCAAAGATGAGTTTAGTTAGAACTAAGAAAGGGAAGAAGGTATATAGAGAAGTTGAAGTTCAAAGTGTGGAGCATAAGGCCTATTTATATAGATTGTGCCATCAGTTTCTAATTGATTGAGCTCTATCTTTTTAAATCAATTTTATCCACAATTAGAATCTTAACTGAAAACTGCTCCAAATCTTTATCTAAGTTTAAATTTTAAATTCAAAATTCAAACTCAGATTCACATAGCACAACAAGGACTAGAAGTATCTAATTTTTCTCCAAAATATCTCCACAATACACTAATAACAACTTCTAGCTAAACTGCAACAATTAATAATATGATTAGTGTAAATATATATAAAATAAACTTTAAATGTATAAATATAAGTCATAAAATATATCAAAATATGAACTTATCAAATTGTAGCCAAACCTATAGTGGTGTTCTACAATGGGTAAATTACGATGGGAAAAGAAGTCAAAGCTCTTCCACGCAATTCCATTTGAATGTGAAAATCAAAACCGATTCTAGCTTAAAAATTTATTTAATATTTCTAAACTTAGCTTAAATTTTATTTTTTAATTAACAATAATTATAGAGGGACTAATTGATAAATAAAATAAAAAATAATTTATTATTAAATATTTATTATTTAAACGTTTGTTTAAATATTATGAAAATTTTTAATACTTCATCAACCGTTTAGGCCTTTATTTCGAACATTAATGAGTAGCTTGTTATTATTCCTTCTAGAGTGTTTCCAAGAATTAACTCAGAAGGATGATAACTCATATATTTCTATTCCTTTTCCGGATTGTTTGTATTGATCATTTGTTAGACTGCGTGTCAATGACGATAGATTTTTCTTCGTCCTTTACTTCCACATATGCTTAGTTGATTTTGAGCCTTGTAAATTTGTGTTCAGTATTGATAATCCTTTCTCAATTGGTTCTTTGTTGTCAAGCTTTATATGTATGTATTCTTAAAATACTTTATTTTGTTTTTCTTAATAAGATTGGTAGCGCCTATTTTTAATCATTTTTTTCAGTTGTTGACACATTGCAATTGTGGTCCTTAATCACATAGTGTTTATAGACTAGTAAACATTGGATTAATATTACTTACAACACAATTCTCATTAGCACATATTTTGACATATTCATATAACATCCTATTCGTCTAATTATTAATTTATTTCACCAACATGTGTACATATGTGTTGAATATCATTTCTATTTCATAATCTCCTACTTTTATTTTTCGAAGTATGAAATTGAAAATGTCAAGAGGAGTAAAACCGAAAGAGTACAAAATTCAACAACCCATTACTTTGTTGGCCTTAAGATGAGGCTTCTCAGCCACAGTTCCATCATTACCCGCGAGTGCTTTGTACTTATCTTTCCTAGTAAAGCTAGTGCACTCATAAGACAAAGTTGCGGCTATCACCCTTTGTATATAATTTGCCACATCATGGCTTGATTTGCCCGAACCACAAGTCAACTCTTTGGGCAACTTGTTCAAGAATGTCACCTCATAAGTAGGGCTAGGGTTCATGAAGAAGTAAAATGGGTCCATTCCCTTCCACCCTCTTGCGGTTGTTCCATGGAACATGCTCATGCGATTCACCATGGCCACAGGCACGAGTTCATCGGTTAGCTCAGCAAACAAAGCAGAAAACCTAAGAAGAAAGGGTTCCCTACAAGTTGTCCCTTCAGGGCATATAGCTAAGTCACCCTCTTGCAAGAGCTTCTTGATCATGGATGCATCCGTGGCACGATCACGACTGAGCCTAACGGTTTTGATAGGGGAAATGATCTCGGAGAGACGGGAAACGGAGTAGGTAACCGCCGGGATCGGACGACGGAGCGCGGTGGAGAGAAAGATTGGGTCAAGTAGCGTTCTATGAGAACAAATGAAGAGAACCCCAGATTGATCAGGGTTAGATTTTGTGACTGGGGGTGGCGGTGTGCCCTTAATGATGACACGGACACCAAGTGCCCAAAAGGCATAGTAGACCAAATTCATGGGGAGAAGTGACCCTGCAGCTATTCTTAAGCATGCTAAGAGGAAGCCGATAGGGATCCACAGTATGATTAGCAAAGCCATGAGCGGTGAGGGCTTTTGCACAAGCCTTCCATCATGGAATATTATTGGCTTTGGAAGCTTGTCACTTGTCACTGCTTTCACCTTTGGTTTGGCTGGTACCCTGTAACCCTCCTGCATGCATTAAAAGATTTGAACTTTTAATAAAAAAATGAAAATGTTAACATCTGCTTTTTGGTTAATTTAAAGTATTAAAAATAATAAAATTTTATTATAAACGTCAATAATATTATGTTCAAAAAATGCAAAAATACAATGCAAAACTTTTAATAAAAAAAATTATTTTTATATAATTAAAATTAGTCCTAAAAATGGTGTTAAAAAACAATTTCATTGTCTACTCTATAAAATCACTTATAAAATAGCATTCAATATATATGATTTATCAAAATCAAGAGCTAGTGGTGATGAAGAAACAATTACCTTGCACAAAGCCATGAAGGGAGCATCGGTTTGTCTATCTCCAAGACCAATCTCAGGTTGCTCCTCTCCAAAAGCTTTCTTAAGAGCCTCAGCTTTGTGATTCCCAACAAGTACCCCTTCCTTGGAGACCAACCCAGTTGCTCTTCCCTTAAAAGTCCCAATCTCAGTCCCCAAAACCATGTCAGCACCCAAAAACTCCTTCAGAAAAGGTTCCACCATCACCCTAGGATTTGCCGTCAGAACACACCTTTTCCCACACGACGAGAACACGCGCCACGTGTCGGGGTGAACATCACCCGAATAGAACTTTGGAAGAACCGCACGTGCCACTGACTCTATTGTCGACACTTTCATTCCACACATCGATGCAAAGATGAGAACTTGAATGCCCGCGGATTCAGAAATAAGGTAATAGAGTAAAGCAGCAATAGGCGAAGTTAATACATAGAACAAAAGCCTAAGAACCCCACCACCCTCAAAGGCCATTAGAGCAAAATATGGAAAAGAACTACGACCTACGAGTAAGGTTCCATCCATGTCAGCAACCACCGTCTGATTTTCCCTGCCCGTGGAGGTGCATTTTTCAACGGTTGGAAATGTCGCAAGGGCCATGCTACACTTAACTTGGTGTAATTAATCAATTGCACTAGCTATGTGTAATTAACATTAGATTGGTTGCATGTTTTGTGTGTGAGGGGTTTTGTGGGTGTGACTGTGTATATATATACACATACTTACACATAGGAACTCGGATGGTTGCATGTTTTGTGTATGGGACAATATTGGGTTTGGTGCGAGTGACTAATGGGAATGTGACAATGATGGCTCGTACCCGGCGATGCAAACGAGGCTGTACTATTCTTGTTTTTGGAAATTATAAGGTGTGTAGTTTGGGTTAATGGCTTGGTTTGCTCCGTCATGTTTTGTCTTCGGTTCACTTTGCACTGCAATTGGTAAAGGTTATTCAAATATTTGTATTTGTCACAGTTTCTTAAGCAGATCTAACTCCTATAACACAAAGCGTGCACTTTAATTACAATTATAATAGTTTATTAGATTATAATAGATTGGTTGATATTATATTTTTCTTTGTTAGAACCAGAAAGTTACATATAATAGTATACAAAGTCTTGTTATAGGATACTATTATTTAATACATTAATGAATTTTTTTTTTATTAAAAATCATAATGATAAGAGCATGTTGAAAATTATGATAAAAATATACTAATGTTATTTTTTAATAACTTTTTTTTTATTTTTTAACTACTATCTTTAGTGATATTTAGTTTTTCTAAATTTAAAAACTATGTAAAATAAAAAATAAAAATGACTTATTCTTGATTGAAATTAAGATTTTATAAATATAATTATCTTTAAATAATAATAAATATTTTTTTATTTTTTACTTTATAAGTTATCTCCTTTGGAAAAATTAATCTCTCCTTAAGATAGTAGTTAGTATTTGTCTATGATAAATTATAAAATTATTAAATTTTTTATATTAGTGTTAAATTAACAAATATAACGCGTGGTATATACTTTTCTTTAAAAATTTCATTTAGATAACATTGGATATACAATTTATTTAATAATTTTTTAAAATGATAACTTATACTAGAAATTTAATAATAAAATTATTTAGTTAAACTAAAAATAATTTATTTTAATAAATTATATAAAAAATATTAAAATAAGCGTAAAATCATTAAAAAGTACGTAATATACAAATCCTAAATAAGAAATTTATTTATATGAATTTAAATCCTAAATAGATTGACAAAATAAACTAAAATAATATACAAATCCTAGATTATTTCACAAATTGTGAATAAATTCATTAAAACATCCTTAAGCTATGCCAATTCCAATGAAAGTTCATGGGGCATATTTGGATGACTGACTCCACATTGGGATTGAAACCACATGACGACGGCTTTTCCTATTCCATTTCGTCCCTCCGATCGATAATGAATATTTTATAAAAATACTCTTTTAAGTTGGTCTCAGATATCATTTTTAATTAAAAAATTAAGGTGACCAGTAAAAGAGATAAATAAGTTGATATCTACGTAATAATTTTTAAAAGAATATCATATTACATTAAAAACATATTAAATACTTTCCATAATAATATCTCATGATTTTATGTATTATAAATGAATTTAAATTCATACAAATTAGAGTAAAAGGACTTTTTTTTTTTCTTCCTAAACTATTAGTATATCCCTTAAATATCAAATTAGGTACAATACACTATAATATAATTCAATTAAGATGTGTGCTGTAATATTTTAAATTTTTTTTATGATTATCGTAATCAAAAAATTTATACTAATAAAAAATATATATGATAAGTTAAAAAAGTATTATTATATATAATTATTTAAAATTATATTATTTATTACATATTTTTATTATTTTATATATGTGTATATATTATATATTAAATTTTATTTTATTTTTTATAATTTTTTAATTTCAAATAAAATATATTTTAAGTATTTTATTTATTATAAATAAAAAATTATAACATGATATATTAATATAATAATTAAATATTAATAATAGAATTAAAAATATAAAAAATATATTAATATAATATTATTATTTTATTTTTAAATTTTAATTTGTTTAATTTTAATTGCGTTCTAATCCTATTTAAAAATTTAAACGTTTTTTTAACTTATTTAAGTTTAATAAATATAATAATTTATTATTAAATAAATTAATTATTTAAATATAGTTGTACATGTTCTTAAAGCATCTGTATACTAACTAATGCGAAGTCTTATTTTTTATTTAATTTAAACAAAAAATGCAATTCAAAAATTAGTTGTAACCTTATGATAAATTATATAATTAATATATAAATTAGTGTAAAATTTAATTAAAATAATAGTCACATAAATATATAGACTATAAAAGCATGACAAAATACATGCATGCTTGCACATGAAAAAGATTATTCTTAGAGTTAAGAATTGAAGAACTTTTGATAGTTCTCATTTTGAGTATGAATTATCATCTAATAAAAAGTATATGATAGAATTTTCATTAGTGAATAGAAGAAATCCAATACATTTTACCAACTTTTATAAGCATGACGCAAAAGCAAACTTGATAATGCAATCCCTTTATGACCTAGACTGCACAGGCAATCTTCTAAACAAGAATCATTCAATTTTGAAATTTTATGTAGGTGTACGAGTGATGATAGCCATAATTGCTATATTGAGAGGGTTGTTTGGATGCACCCTCAAAAGGTAATAGAACCCACAAAGCCACCGGAAAGAGGGTTAAGTTAAGTTAGGGAGTGGTGAGGGAGGCAAAGATCTGAAAATCAAATGGGGGGAGAAAGACAAATAAAATAGCCATGTAAGATGCACATGTTGACTCAATGTTCATATTCATGCTCTATGTGACGGAAGGGCTTCTTCGCATAATTTAAAAAAGTCATGATTTAAATGGCATATAATTAAATGTACAAAGGGGTAAAATACCTTTTTCCCTTTTAAAAAATAAAGTATATAATTACTCTTTACCAAGTAATCAAACATAACCTTAATATTTAAATTAATTAGAAATTAATTTTGTACTGACACAAGAAAAATGAATTTCATGTATAAATACATATAATGTACCTAATATAAATTAAAGTGATCAACAAAGCACAATATTAAAATATGCTCAAGAGGAATTTGAATACATGAATTATAAATAATAACTCTTTTTTCTAGTTCTGATCATGCGCACTCGATCACACACATAAGAATGATGATTATTGTTTATTCAAACATCTTCTCTAGTAAATATTGAACATAATCAACCTTAGTAGTATTTCTAGAAATAGGAATTGCATATCGATTCAAGTATTTAATCTAACTTCCAATCTTTTTGTGCTCAACAAAATTAAACAAAAAATCATGTTCAATGGTACAAACATCTCATGGGATACCATATGATCTATTTTTTAAGACTTCAATTTTCCTTGATCTATCATCATTTGCAAAAGTCTTCAAATTTATTTTCTTTGCATTCAAGGATGTGACAATTTAAAAAAGACATCTCATATAATTTACCACCTAATTTGTATTTATTCTTACGACCATTACATACTACTCTTTGAATACTATCATCACCTACTCCAATATTAGTAAAAAAATTTTAGCAATCTGAAGTTGTTGATTTAGATATTTTCTTTTTACAATCCACAAATTTAGATTATATTTTTATATTATCACTTTACATATCAATAGTGTTTGTGCCATTAACTGATTCCACATCAACTTAAATATAAAATCAATTAAAGTTATTGGAAAAATAAAATATTAAAACAAGAGAAAAAAATTCAATCATATGATTATCAATAGTTATCTCCAAAAGCTAAGAATTTGTTTGTTATGGTAAATTAAACATAAAAAAGAGGCAACAATGCTTAAATATGGCAACCATAAACAAATAAACTAAATAAATAAAACAAAGTCATACAATGAAGGCATATAAGAAAGCAGAGGAAAGGTAAATAACAAAGAGTGATACACATCTAAATGAAGTTGTGAACAAAGATGATTAGAGATGGATTGAGCAGTTAGAGACAATGGAAGAAGGACGATGACGAAGTCACAAATGAAATTGCAAACAGAGCTGCAAATGAACATGATCTAAACCTAGAAGGTGAGGAGAGACTGAGCTAGGCAGCGTTATGTGAAGGAAAGGACAAACTTAGTCATTTAGCATTAACAATTGGCATAAAAAAAATCCTAAGGATACAAATTGTATTGTAAAGTGATTTTTAAAAATATTTTAATAGCTCCTAGAATCTATATTCTCTAGAAGTGCTTGAATTTTATTTTAAAAAGTTCAAACATTTTCAAAGCTTCTATCTTCCATATATCCAAATATATCACTCTGTTGCAACTTATTCCTTCTCGGTAGGGCAAGCTGAGTATTCACTTTTATTTTGCGTATATAGATTCTTGAAGTAATGTTATATTTATTTTTTTAAGTATATTTATTATTTCTTATTATTTTATAATTAAATATATTACTAGATCATAATTTAAAAAATAACATTTATGAATTTAAATTTACTTAATTTTTATTTAATAAATAAGAAAATATAAAAATTATAAATTTTATAAATATTCTTTTATATTTAAGTTTATGCTTCTCTTGAAAAGAAAGGAAAAAGAAAGGAAGTCGCGTATAATTTTTTCTAAGATAAAATTTATTTAGGGTATTGGAGGAGAACTCAATTAACATTGACGTAGTGAGCATACATTTGGCCAATTATGAAAATCTTTTAATACTTTCTAGGATGCTTTATTTTCATAGAGGTAAATCTACCATGTTGACATGGAAAACAAAAGATAGAGTCACCACAACCATGATAATTTTAAATTAATAATTTACTATACAAGATCTTACATTTATTATATTTGTTAAAAAATTCTTTAAGAACCTAATTAACATTACCAAACAATTTAACTCTAATTCTTATCTTATCAACATAAATAGGTGAAATTTGCTTAGTTTGATTTTTTCGAAGAGGTTCCAATTTTGTGGCTGCATCACTTTCGTTTCATTTTTGCACTACCAATGGATTTAACA